CTGAAGGGAAAGAGAACGTTCCTGGTCATCGATCCTAATACAGAAAACTACGATATAACACCTCAGGTCACCTTCAATAATCATTATTGACTATATAGATCAGTTATCTGTCATCGGAACATGCATACATTTGATCGTTCCAAAATTCTGTCTAAACAGTTGAATTAATAAAATTTTAACAATTTTTAACAATACTTTTCAAATGCAATCAAATAGGAGATATGACCATTTCTTTTTTTTTTTTTTTTTTGTCAAATGAAGTGCTTCAGGTTTTGTTTGTTTGTTTTTATTGTTTATTCAATAGTAATTTATTTGTTTTCTGGTTTGTTGCAAATAGCTTTGCGTTTTTCTGTGTGTTTTTGAAATTGAGGTTTAATAATCCTTGTTGCAATTTCAAACATTTAATGACTAATGGTTAGTAGCTTAAAGGGTTAGTTCACCCAAAAATGAAAATTATGCTGTGTTTTACTCACCCCCGAGGCATCCTAGGTGTATAGGACTTTCGAAAACCAACGTTTGTTTACAGGATCAAAAGAAGCAAAGTTTCCTTACTTTAGCAAAGGAAAACCAGTCTCCTCTTGACTTATATCGAAATCCTCCAGCATTCTTCTTTACAAATCCTCGTTTTGTACTTCTAATTAGTGACCGTTGTTTTGTTTTGATCTCTCCGCGTGCGTCACTTCTGAGCCGCGCATGCGCAACGCTGACCTCATACGTCATTCCCCCGGAACTGCTTCTGTGTACAACAGTAAGCACAAGTTACATTAAAGTGATTATTATGTTTTGAATATGGATATTTTTCTTACAAAAACGCATCGATTCGCTACAGGAGGCCTTTGTTCACCCCCCGGAGCTGTGTGAGACACTTTGTTTTATGGATGTGACCTTTTTATTTCACTTCTTTGGGACTGAAGCACTGCAACACCCACTGACTGCAATGATAGAGCTTGGAATAGCCGGGACAGTTTTTAATATAACTCCGACTGGATTCGCCTGAAAGAATAAAGTCATATACACCTAGGATGCCTCAGGGGTGAGTAAAACACAGCCTAATTATCATGTTTGGGTGAACTAACCCATTAAGTATGGACTTACTATTGAATTTCTATGTCAAATCAAGTGTGCACAACAGTGTTTTTTAATAGTACGTACAGTAGTAATACTTTTCTGCAACAATTTCTTCAAGTTCATCTTGTTTTGTTCATACTTTTGTTTTTTGTGTGTATTTGTCTTTTTTAAGTTTTTGAAAGAAGTCTCTTCTGCTCACCAAGGCTGCGTTTATTTAAACAAAACATACAGTAAAAATTGTGAAATATTATTACGATCTAAAAACAGTTTTCAATGTGAATATCTGTTCAATTGTAATTGTTTGCTGTGATAAAAGCTGAATTTTCAGCATCATATTTGAAATAGAAATCTTTTGTAACTTTATAAATGTTTTTACTGTCACTTTTCGTCGGTTTAATGCGTCTCTGATGAATAGAAGTATTAATGTGCCTCTGGTTGTTTTCGTGTGTCTCAGACTAATGAGCTAAAGGTGGACAACATACTGGCGAATCGTCAGAAGCTCCGCGCATCGGTTCGGATGTCGCAGTACCTGCAGTCCTGGAAAACCGTCAAACCGTTTTCTGGACTCAACCAACCAGAGGCTTCGCTCGCAGCCCCGCCCACTGCTGACAGCAGCGCTAGCCAATCACAGCCGGCCACGGTCAGTGTCAATCATGATCACCGTCCAATAATACTGAATCATTTACTGAAAACATAAACGCTGCATATTAATTCCTGTCATTCCTTTATTTTGTCATCAGCAGGAGCTCCCAGAGGTCAACACTCCAAGGTGAAAATGAAAGGTTTATTAATTCGCTTCAGCGATATAAATGTAGTTTGCATACGTACCAAACAATGTACTTACTTTGGATCATGTACCAGAATCCACCAAGAAGAGATCAGAGCTGACTTTCACTCAGTTTGCTTTGCAGTTCAGATAAATACTGTAATTCCCATTTGTTTCTTTTCTCAGACCTTCACAAGTTCTGGAAAACGGACTGATGGACTCATTAGACTCTCTGGACAATGAAGGGTGAGCAAACGATTCATTAGTCTTCACAGTGAATGAGTCATCAAAAAATATTTGATTTAATATCATCTTTTCGTTGTTTAGGAGACGAGCGAAGCTGAACAGTGTGACATTATTTTTTAACAATTTTCAGCTGGAGAAGCAGGTGTGAATTATTTGCGACCCTGAACCACAAAACCAGTCATAAGGGTCAATTATTTAGAAATTGAGATGTATACATCATCTGAAAGTGGAATAAATAATCTTTCCATTGATGTATGGTTTCTTAGGATAGGACAATATTTGGCTGAGATACAACTATTTGAAAATCTGGAATCTGAGGGTGCAAAAAAATCTAAATATTGAGAAAATCATCTTTAAAATTGTCCAAATGAAGTCCTTAGCAATGCATATTACTAATCAAAAATTAAGTTTTGATATATTTAGGGTAGGAAATTTACAAAATATCTTCATGGAACATAATCTTTACTTAATATCCGTTAAAAATATATATGATTTTTTGCATAAAAGAAAAATGTATAATTTGACCCATACAATGTATTGTTGGCTATTGCTACAAATATACCCCAGCGACTTAAGACTGCTTTTGTGCTCTAGCGTCACATTTATTCATTTAGAAGCATGTGTTTTTCCATTTGTTGCTGTTGATTTGCACTCTTATTTTCTAACTGTGTGTCTGTTTGTGTCAGTATTCGTTAAGTGAAGTCCAGGGGCTTCATCGCTCTGTCATATGTTTGGCCTTCATCTTCATCTCTGTGTTTGTGGTTCAGATGCTGACCTCGCAAAAGTGAGTAAATGTTACATTTAATCATTTTAAAATAAAAACAATCCAAACACGTATTAAAACTGATTTAATATTTTTTGTATAGCTGCGTGTCGCGATCATTAAAATTTCTGAAATATCAAAATTGTATTAATTATATTATAATTATTATTATTATAACAATTATTAAACTTGATGATGATATTTTAGCTCAAAGGGGCAAAAAAGTTTGGGAATCCTTGATTTAAAAAAAAAAAAAAGCCTCTAAAATCTTACAAATCGATTGTATTTTCAGCTATTTCAGTCACCTGTCATACTAAGACCATTCTTACCAATCAATAATGATTAAAACATTTCTTCTTGTTTAATACCCTGAAAAATTTTTTACAACTAAAATAAATTTTTATATGTAAAAAATAATAGATAATTTTTTATCTGTATTTTTGGCAAGGATCAAATTAAAGTAGTAAAACTGGCTTCATGTTGATTTCAACACAATGCACATTGCCTGTTATTTATTTCGTCACACACATTAAGAAAAAGTTTAAAAGCGGTTTTCTACATTTTTCTAAATGAACACAGCTGAAATCTCTCTCATTCACTTTGTGCGCATACAGAAACTTTGCGCTGGCGGTGTCGTACAGTGCCACCTTCCCTGTCCAAATATTGATTGTGCTTGTGGTCTTCACTAAATTCCTGAAGGTATGACTGCATGTCTTATATGTGTGTGTTTGTGTGTGCATTATAAGAAAATTCATTTTAGTGGTTGACCATTGTGGCTTTTTAAATGGTCAATGCTTAGTATTACATATAATCAGTTATCTGTTAATAAAGAAGTAGAGGATGTTTTATAATGATTCTATTTTGTATCTTGTGTTAATGTTGTGATATGTGTTTGTGTGTCAGCGCTGGCACTCTAAGTTCCCCCGCCACATCCGCTGGGTCTCGATGCTGTTTGACGGTGTGGCCACTAGGGCGGCGCTGCGGCTGCTGCTGGTGTTTCTCTGTCTGCTCATCATGCTGCTCATGGCAGTGCTGAACATAGTGAGTCAACAGCTACATACTCAGACACACCTGCACAAACATCAGCTCATGACCGACAGGACTGTTTAAGAGTCAAAGCAGCCAAAAACGTCTTTACACCTATACATATAAGAAGGTTTCCTCAAAATGAGGTTGTTTCTCCACTTCAGCAGCACTTACAGACACCAAAATTTACAGTTTCATTCCTCTCTATATTCTGAAGGTTTTTACTGAAGGGTTTGTTAATATATCATTCACATGAGTTTTATTATTACATTTTATCTATTTGCGTCTGTAGATTTTAAATACAATATATGTTTTTATTGGCAGTTTTCTCTAAATGAGTTTGTTTCTCCACTTCAGCAGCACTTACAGACACCAAAATGTACAGTTTTATTCCTCTCTATATTCTGAAGGTTTTTACTGAGGGGTTTGTTGATATATCATGCACCTGTTTTTTATTGCACTTCATCTATTTGCATCTGTAGATTTCAATTATAAAAGTCTCTAAAGGTGGTTTTCCTAAAGTGAGTTTTATCTCTTCTTCAGCAGCACTTACAGACACCAACATTTACAGTTTTATTCCTCTCTATATTCTGAAGGATTGTACTGAGGGGTTTGTTGATATGTCTTTCACCTGAACTTATACAACATTTTATTTCTAAAACATGGCGAAAATGTATGTTTTTTGTCTATTGACAATATTTTCTGGTTTATGGAGTGGTAAAAAGAGAAATCCTAAATCCTCTCTGGAAAAACCCTTAACTCTAATATGCCAACAAAGTAAAACAAGAATTTTGAACCTGACTTTATCCAGTTCTTTTGCACATTTGAACAACATTTAAAAAAAAAAACTTGTACTTACAAAAAAACGTTTGCAATTCTTAATGCAATCAATCAACTGGGAAAGTATTGTCATTATTTATGAGTAAAATATTATTCAAATTTGACAATATTCACCCGACAAAAACGGTGCAAAAAGTTTTTTAAACGGAAACGGTGGTGCGCGGGGTGCTATGCAACAGTTTGTGTTGTGCGAGAGTCAATGTAATGGAAAGGGTGACCTCTGGTGGTGAATAAACAGAAGTCCATGGACCGAATTCGTGACACCACCAAACAAGAGAAAACGTGTCTCAAACCCCGTTGCACACCGTGTCCAGGAAACATGTCGTTCAAACCGGAAACCATAGCAAAACGGTGCACACCAGTTTGAGCTTGAACTTGCCCCAGGTGTCCCTTGCCTTAAAAGTTGATTTATGTTTGTTCAGTATTTCCTGAGTTCATTCGGTGAATAGTTAATGTTTCACTAACTAACACTGTGATTTTAATCCTGTTTGAATCAAACAAAAACTACAGCACAAAAGTTGTACTATTACCTACTGCTTTTTATTAGCTTGAACATACTTGTTGTCATATACACATTTTATCAAAATGCATTTAATTTGTTTTAGCCTTTACTGAAGAACTAAATTTCTTGTTGTTCTATCGATCCTCCGTCCCATAAAGATCAAATGTATTGTTTTAAAGGACAGTAAATTTCTAAATGTCTGTCTGTACAAGATGTCTATATGTTTGTCTGTACAAAGTCTGAAACATCATGTTTGTTTTGTAGGTTTTTATCCCAGGTGATAACTGTTTAAGTGTTTCCCACAATGCAACAGTACTGAACACTCTCAATCTCTACACTGTCCCGGTGAGCTTTTAGCTTATATTATAAATGATCAATAGAGGTGATCATTTACATTAGTATTGGTGTCATATTGATCATATGTTAATATGATGTAATTGTGTGTGTGTGTGCAGTATTATCTGTACTGCTGTCTGCTGGCGATGCTGGGCGTGATTGTGTTTGTGCGTGTGAGCGTGTCTGTTAAAGTCTTCCTCCTGACCCTCGCTGTGGTGGTTTATCTCGCGCTTTTCCTGCACGTTTACGCGCCGCGCTCCAACTGCTACATGAAACAGCTCTACAGTGACAACAGCACGTAAGAGCCAAACACACACACCTGATTCTGCAGGACTACTGCCAGCATTTTGTTATACATATATATTGCATTTTATATAAATGCGATATATGAGATCTAGTGACTGAAAAGAGTGTAAAAAATATCTTTGCTTTGAAACCTACTTAAGCTGTAATAGTGTCTCAAGTGATATTTAGCAAAGTAATCAATTAGAAAATTGTTATTATTGTTATTTTTTTATAACACAATAACGATACAAAATATAATTATTATTAATTTTAACTTACAACAACTATAATAATAACAATCATTATTATTGGATTATTAACAAACTCATAACATTATAATTATAATTATTTTAAATAATTCTAATATATAATTTTAATTGTTTATAATAATAATTATTATTATGTATAAAAGAAAAAGTGTTATTGTTATTATTATTATTATTGGATTATTAATTAGAACAATAATATTAACAGTTATTATAATTTTTACTATAAAAATGAAGACTATATATTACTATTTTAATAATACAATTGTACTGAAAAAATGTATTAATTAAAAAATAATAATAAATAATTATTTAATTGTATTAAAAATGATAATAACGATTTATATTTTAATTTTAATTCATTGTGCAGACCTAATTTAAATAATGAATCACAATCAGTTGCATTAATATTGAGCACAAATGCCGTTTCATTTGCATGAATATTTAGAATAAGCACAGTTAATTGTAAGTTTAGTGTAGAATGTGTTGAAACTTCTCTCATATTACATTCAGTTTTAAAGTCATCATGAAGTGGCACATGCTGCCCATTTTACTTCAGTAATGTGACTTATTTCATATAGTTAATGAGAATTGAATGTTGGTGGGACTTAATTCATGGAAGGAATAAAGCTTCTTTTTATTACAGGTGGTTGAAAAATAAGAAGAATTAGTGATCTCAGACTTTTAATGAAAGATTATGAAGACAAACATTTTTTCTTTATTATAATATATAATAATAAGAGCGGGAACATGAATTAAGAAGGTATATTGAGTCAATATTAAATTTTGTGACTTTTGTGGTTCAGATGCAGTTTCTATGTTTCTTTGCCTTTTAACTCAAACATGTGTCCAGAAACCCCGTGATTGTTCTTAAAGTCAATAAATTGAGTGTAATTAATATTTATTGTGATATCTCACTGTATGTGTTTTAGGCCGGGAGTTCTTAAGGAGCCCAAGATCATGTCCGGCATTTGGCTGGTCATTTTTTACTTGATTTCCCTTATTGTCGTGCGACAGGTAAGAGTGTGTGTGTGTGTGTCTGTGTGTGTGTGTGTCTGTGTGTGTGCGTGTCTGTGTGTGTGCGTGTCAGTGTGCGTGTGAGTGTGAGTGTCAGTGTGAGTGTCAGTGTCAGTGTCAGTGTGAGTGTCAGTGTCAGTGTGAGTGTCAGTTTGAGTGTCTGTGTATCTGTGTGTGTGTGTATCTGTGTGTGTGCGTGTGCGTCAGAGAGAGCGAGAGAGAGAACACACAGTTGGTTATGAGTCTATTTTAGTTTGATATTATGTATTCAGTAATAGAGAAGTTTACAAAAAGTAATCCGCTCCAGATGACTAACTACTTCTCGAAACGCATTAGCTTTTGTCTTTGAATGGTGCTGCTTCCTTCATCTGTCGGGAATCATGGGTGTTACAGCAACTGATTCATACATTATAAATATTTGACATGAGTTATGTGCTGTTTACTTCATTATACTAAAAGAAAAACCTGAAACTAACACAAAAACTTTTTTATAATATATAAAAAACATTAAATTATTTTGTTTCAGCTAGTCGCCAAGACAACAACATTTCTAATTTTCATTTAGTTTAACTTGATGTGCTAAAGTAAACCCAAAAACCTGAAACAAAACTAAAGTAAAACAAAAAATTACTTCATTACTTCATTATTTCATAAATAAATATAACGGAAAAAAATGACAAAAACTTTGAAGTTATATATATGCACACATATTTAAAAAAAAAATCTATAGTAGTATGATAATGATGATAAAGTAACACCTCAGTTTTATACCTCAAAATAACAAAACCACAAAATAATTTTAGTGGAACGCTTCTCGGCCACACATCTTTGTGTTTTGTTGGAAGTAACTAAAGGAAAAAGCTTCCCACTTGAGCAGACCTCACGCCGTGTCACTGGAGTAATCTGAGTGTGTACTATGATGCAGGACGAGTTGGGCTCTCGGACGGAGTTCCTGCTGGAGAAGTGCTTTAATAAAGAGACGGAGGAAATGGAGACGACCAAGAACGTCAACAGACTGCTGCTGCAGAACCTTCTGCCGGAGCACGTCACAGACTTCTTCATCGGCAAAGACATCCAGAACCAGGTCAAACACTTTGACTCCGCTGCGCCACCTAGAGGCATATTCACATCCTTCATTAACGTCTCTGAATGGACGGATGTTAACCCTATAGCACTACTGTAGCATATCTGATACATAACGGCCTCTATATGTGCTGTTAAATCAGTTTCACTCGATCTCCTCACGTCTTCTGTCTCTGATTGAGAGTTTAGAGTGTTTTATCCAGTCAAAGCTATTTCAGTGTAATTGTAGAAACGCTTCTCGTGTCAAATCTTGACTGATTTTGATCAAGTAAAGGTCAGAATAACTGCAGTTTTAGAGTCTCAAATCTGATCCTCAGGATCTTTTGAGGAGCGTTTGTTTCCAGAAGCTTTACTTTCACTGTTCCTCAGCGGAGGAATGATCTTCACAAGCCTCCAGAACATCTCACATCTTCTGAGGAGCCTTTATTTCTTCAGCTCTCAATCACTGCATTATATGTTTGGAGCATTTCACTCTCATCTCACTGAGACAGATTACTGGAGATATAGAG